TTTACCTTTATAAATATAGTATATATTTAAATAAATAAAAATTTTAATCTAATAAAATGTTTATTAAAAAACTCTCCCATTTTAAAATTTATTAAATAACTTTGCAAATACAACTAAGTATTTATGTAAATATAGATACAAATATTTATTAATTATAATATAAATTTATTTATATGAATATAAGATATTTAATCTGACGCTTAATGGGGGACGAAGTCCCCTGTATATCGCAACTTCTAGTTTACTTTTAAAGATCGATCTTCCACTTTAGCATTGATTTACTGATTACTTTCCATTGTCTTCAAATTAAGCTTTCTGATCAACGGTCAACAAATCTAATTAAAAAAAAATTTTTTTTTAATAAATGTTAATTATGATGCGAATAATATCTTCTTATTTTAGTCAACTCAATGCAACGAAAATTCCTTTTGGTAACAAGCACCATGAATTATTCTTAACTCAAATCTCATGTTGCAACTATTTCATTTTAATCCTTTAATAAACTTTGTTTATTATTTGTATTAAATGTAAGTAAAAAATTGGTATATATTAAAAAATTATATACAGGATTATATAATATTAAGGAATGCTAATTTATGATATTTTGAACTATATATAAGATTCTATTGAGTGCAAGTAACGAAATATGGCTCCCTATTGTTAGATTCAGTAAATTCGAAAAAGTACAAGAATTATACAGCTTCAAAATGAATACTTTAAACGTTTTATTCATCATTCCTAGTTCGAGTGGTGAGTATTTTTGGAAATTGTGCTTTTTTTTGAAGCATGTAAGTTTCATGAAGTAGTAATCTCATATAAATAATTGGTTTGTGCTAAAAGATAAATGTTTATTAATTACGTTTTATGAAATTAATTATAAGTAGCATAATTAGTTATTTCAACTAGTAGTTGCAAACGTTAGAACTTTTTCTGTCGATTCAGCCGTCGACTTAGTCGTGCCATTATTTACTAATATTATACAAATATTTTAAAAAATGTTTAAAATTTGCAAATATATATATATATTTATTGTGCATCTATTAGGTCCTAATAGACCACTCAAAAAAGATTTATTGGGCAGGGTTATATCAGCCTATCGGCTGATATTTAACCACCCCTGCCCAATAACTATATAATATAAATTCATTTAATCTGCAGTTCGACAGAAATAATAGGTTTTCTCGATGAAAATTGTATGAAAAAAAACTAAAGATACTTTAGTTACGGTTATTTAATGTATTAAACTTGCATTTTCATTATTTTCATTAGAATTTATAAAGATATTAAATATTTATTGAGAAAATGATTTAAGTAAATATTTCGAATAAACGTAGCAGATCAATCGTACTAAATTTGGATTGTGAACCTCCCTGAAATATGTCACATGATGATAATGTCTATAAATGATTTTATTAAAAAAAATTTTTTAATCCAGGTTGAATTATTTGAATAAATCCTTTATAATTGTAGATTTTAAATATTATGCGTAAAATGTTCAATTATAACCTTTGCTAATCCTCAATATTATATTGGTTTAATTTTACCGTTTTCTTTTCCGATTTTAGTTCGCAAAGTCACCCGATGAACTTTATTATTAAATAGAATACAAACATTACACGTTTTTTTCCATTAAATAGTCAAATGCATATATTTTTGAAAACCATAACAAGATATTTTATTCCCTATTATACAGTATTATGATGAATGGTGACTCAAAAATTACATTTTTTTTTTTGCGGTGAAACTAGAAAGATCCAAAATCGACTAATCAAATTTAATTACCAAATATATAGTTATTCGATCGGCACTTAATGGAGAGTAACAATTAATTAGCAGCACAATACTAAATTACGATTTATCTAATTATGAAATCAATCGTTTGACTTTTCTAACACCTCCATTGACAATGCGTAATTATCATGCTAATTATAATTCCACTTGATAAATTGCTTCTTGAATTATTAGTCATTATTGAATATACTTGTGATAACGTTATTATTATTTTAGAATTTTCAATTACATCGAAAATATGGTTGTGGTAGTTCCAGTTGTCGTAAATAGGAAATAATAGGAGAAATGTTACTGTATATTTACAAATGATTCGGCGCGCATAATTCATAAGTACAAGTCGGGTTTGTCTTTATTGAAACCTTTGCTGATATGCAAGATAAAAATATGTAAAACTATTTGAGTGCTTTTGTAATATTAAACTAGTTATCTGGAAAAATCTTTTAATGCAGGGCGATATTAAGTTTGAGAGCATCATATCCGATATTTCCTTGTAAAATCTATTTATGAGGAATTGTTGATTGACGATCTTCTACACCCAAAAATGATGTTCATTTGTTTTTTTATTATGCATGCATTATTCATTGTTCTTATCTAGTAGAATCGATAATTTCATTTAAAAAATCCTTGGTCGAAATGGGGGTTCAAATGCCCTTTCAAAGATTACTAATTGGGAAGAATATTCATTTTTTACACAAAAATAGTTTTTGCATATTTTTCTATTGTGATGTATGAAATTGGCAATGTAGTCGAACCTGTTGAAGCATAACCATTATTATTTAAAGAAGCTTGGTCGAAATGCAAGGAAAAAAAATTTTTTTCAACAATTAATGAAAAATAATAATAACAATTTAATTATCATAACATTTTAAATTTCATAATCAATTATAACAATAAAAAAAATATATATATATTCATTTTATATATTCTATCAGCTTTAGGTATTCTTGTAATTTTTTCTTGATTAGAGCTCCGAATCAGGTCTTAATTAATTAACCTCAGAAAATGGAGAATCAAGTCACACCTGATGAAATCAAATGGACGAAACAAAGTATGGATAGGAAATTAAATTTGGAAAGATTAAAGAGAGCTGTGGAGAATAATTATAGTTTTACGGACAACGTGGAACGAAATATAGCTTTATACTCTGTTTTTTATGCCTTTACATTTATATTAGTAGTAGTTTTTATTTTTATAAATATACGCTTTCCTTATCAAAATGTTTTAGAAATTGTAAGAATTGTTCAGAATTTAATAGCTGGAGTTGGTACATTTACTAGTTTTTTTACAAGTATGAAAAATATTTCTGAAACTCTTAATTAAACTCGTCCAAAAGAATTCGAATTCCTAACATTGATGGAATATAGTTGAAATTGCTTTATATAATGGTCTTCATGACGATGTTTTAAAAAAAAATTGAGAGAAAGAATGTCTCGGAATAAATAATTACAAAAATTGAAGTTTTATCGCTCTTTGTGGGCTTTTATGTGTTCAATTATTTTTATTATTGTTATTATTCTTGAATTTAATTTCGGTAGTTTTGATACATCGATTGTTTTGGATAGCATTCTTTGTTTTGTTGGATTTTTAGGTGTGTTAAATTGTTGGTTGTTAGATGTTTTTCTATCATATCAGGAATTTAGGATTAAATGGCTTAACTTTGGAGGGTATTTTCTTCGTGATTAAACAACTTTTTATCGTGGTTTATTTTGAATTGAAAAACCCGAAATCGAATGAATATAATAACCTCACTTGGTTAAAAAGAACGCGTTACATTATTCTAGATTCTATTCT